GGGAGCCGCGCGAATGTCAGGGGGAAGGTTATTCCAGAGGCGAGAAGCCACCGCCGAGAAGGCCCGATTTCTTGTCTTTTCTTTCTGGGCCTCCCTCATCGTTAGGCTCCTCTTAGAATTCGAGCTGCAGCCCAGGAATTGAAATTACCACACCTTTTAGCCCCCTTCCCTATAGAGAAGAGCTTCCCAGTGAAGTACCTATATCATTGGGTTCTGCCAACCCTCCTGTTTCCTGGGGTTGATTTGTTTAAAAATGGGAATTAGCTCCAGTGTTCCCTGGGAAGTGATAGCCTTACTGCCCATTGGGTTCTCTAGAATGCTGTGCCTAAAGATATACCCATCTCAGTGAGAAAGTTAACATGGGTAGGAGCATTTTTGAGAACATAAATGTGTAAGAATTAAGCAGTTACTGCTTTGTATGCCACTTGGAGGAAAGTATTATGAGATTGCTGCCTGCTTTTCATTAGGGTGGGGTCATACAGAGCAGATTGCAAGGTTTTTTTAAATGACAATGCCATTTAAAAATATTGTTGGATATGATTCATTCACTTATTTATTTTGCTTCTGTGCCACCTTTCTCATAGAATAGAGACTCAAGTCATCTCATAAATCATTTAAAACATTATTTTATATTTTTAGTTTATTTAGTATGCAGATAATGCTGAATGTTACATTTTTACACAATGATAAACCTAGACAAAGGACATTAAATATTCTCGTTCTGTTAACTCAACAAGGTTAACTCCCCACCCCACGCCTGCCGCCAAAAGTGAGAAGACAACATTTTTCTTTTTGGTCTATATCTAACTAAAGAAAGACCTAATTATTTGAGGTCAAGATAATCTTCTGCTATCTGAGAGCAATGTTCTTTCCTGTTTCCAGTGGTTTGTTGAGGAAATCTGCTTAATACTAAAAGGCTGTTCCCCAGCAGAGTGTTTCTTGTCATATGAGAAACCAGAACCTTAAGATTGTAATATTTCGATTTCCTTGCAGAGTGTAGCAGCTGAGTTGGATAAATTGGATGAAAATCAGACTACAGCATCACCACATTGTGAGGATGAAATAAGGTGAGCAGAGTAGTTCTGCCTGTCAATAAAGACCCTTAAGTGCAGAGTGCTAAATTAAATCATTTCAATTTACTTTTTTAAAGATCACAGATGGGTCTCCAATTAGCTGTGTAGGTGAACTGTGCTTTCCGCACCAAAAGTAATTATGCCACACTCAGCCTTTGAGGCCATTGAGGATGAGCAAACCTCTGTGTTAGATGATCTTTCCTTATATTATAAAAACAACGAGCTGAAACCAAAGCCTTTAAAAACACAAGTCTGTGCCTTCCACTTAAAGAACTTAGCTTCTCACACATGGCTTCTCCATTTTGGCTTTATTTTTGGAAAATAAATTGGGACGCAGTGTAATTTGTCATGTGTTGTTGTTCATCTGAGGTTGTATTTAACAAATTTTCAGACCTGTGAAGGACCAGATGATTTTTATTATGTCCTGTAACAGAAAACCATAGAATTCCAAGATGTACTGTATATACTCGAGTATAAGCCTAGTTTTTCAGCACAATATGTTTGCTGAAAAAGCATCCCCCTCAGCTTATACTCGAGTCAGTGTCGAAATTACACGTTCTCCCCTGTAGTGCGGGTGTTCTCCGGACTCCCCCGCTCATCTACGGGCGCCCTAGTGCGGGTGTTCTCCGGACTCCCCCGCTTATCTACGGGCGCCCGCAGCCTCTGTGGGTGGTCCGATGACCCAGGTTAGGTATACTGCATTTCCGCTTCCAGGACACTCCCATCCTCCTTCTTCAGCATATTCCATGTACACACCTTCCTCCTCCCACCTTCCTCCGTCTTCCTCCATCTTCTTATGCAGCAGTAGATAAGCACCGCATCCGGTATGAGTCCTCCCTCCAAAGGCAGTGAAGTATCTTGCAGCTCAGAAGAACAGTATCTTCAAAAACATTTAACCTACTGATGCCTCAATTAAAATAATTTTATTGCTATCTATTTTTATTTTTGAAATTTATCAGTAGCTGCTGCATTTTCCACCCTCGTCTTATACTCGAGTCAATATGTTTTCCCAGTTTTTTGTGGTAAAATTGGGTGCCTTTGCTTATATTTGGGTTGGCTTATATTTGAGTATATACGGTATTTTCTTTTTCAGATGTATGTGCGTAGAATTTATGCCCCACTGTGTATACTAAAGAAGATACGTCAGATTGGCCAAGATAATTGAAGTAGTCTGCTTCTGGTCCAAACCAGCCTAATTATTTTAACATTTGTGTGAACTTTTTGTCCTGTACGTCCATAATTTAAAATTGTGCAGCACTCTGATATGAATAAAGAAAGGATACGAAGTGCATTTGTGACTGAGGTCACAATAGCTTTCTATGCATCTTGAGAGCCTTATTAAATGAGATGTGGATTCCTGACTAGGAGCAATGGTCCTGGAGAAGAAGGTATTTCTTTAATCTGAGTTTATCTCAGTCCACATATAGCAAATTAGTTTGCTGTTACTTTGTAATTGGTTCATTGCAGGGTAGTATTGCTTTTCACATCTGATGGCCCAGACACCTGGCACTGAAAGGTTTTTAAAGTGTTTTTTATTAAATTTTAATTTAAAAATTAATCAAATTTACTCATCACAGATCACATCACAGAAAACAGATCAAACAATCAATGTAAAGAAACAAACAACCGTGAGAGTCAAAAGCTCCATGTCTCAGTCATTTTATCTACCCAAAGAGATATTAAATAAGACAAACATGCTCCCTCTTTACTACACAACAGTGTAGGCAAATGACTAACAAAAACTGCTTACATCTCTCTGGAAAGACCAACAAATATTGATAGATACTGTCCCAGCATAGTGTTCCAAACAGCTTTGTGTGTACTTGGCAACTCCAAAACTCTACCACATTCCTGTTGATCAGATGCAATAAATGATGTTCAGACTTTCTTGTAGTCATTCAAGAGTGCATTTTTACCAGTTGCCTTCCTCTTGTTGTAGATCTCCAAGCCACATCCTGTGCCATTTTGGAGACTTCAGCAACATTCTGGAGCACCTTCTTGAAGGCTTGTAGGGCTTTAGCAGCAGAGAGAGGGAAGTGCTAGACCTGGGGAAAAGGATCATTGGTTCCAAAATAAAACTGTCAGGTTAGGATCTCTGAACTGCTAAAAAACAAAACAAAACAAGCAAAAGTTAATAATTCTTACGCTATCCATGGTTTACCTCAGCTGGGATAGTTAGTGGACAGGATTTTAGTGTGCATTTTGACATAAAAAGCACAAATATTTTCAATTTCTCTTCAGAGAAACAGATATAACTATTACTGAAAAGCCCAGGGTGGAAGAACAGCAGCAGATAATTACATCAGACTTAAAAGGAGCAGACTTAACAAGAGCAGAAGAAGAAGGAGAACTTCTAGTTGGTAACTTGTCAGAGGTCAAGATCTCCCCCTTTGAGTCCATGAGTTTTGAAGAAAAGGTATGGCTCTAAACATTTTAAAAATTCGTACAATGTATATGCTGTTTTGTGTTGCTTGAGAGTTATTCCCTTCTACACATGCAATCTATCTTAATTTCATAGAGGTTTTAGGAGGGTTTTTTTTGGTACCATTGCACACATTTCTCACCAAAATTCTTAATGGTTCTTTTAATTAGAGTACTGCAGAAAATAACACTGCTGACATAACTGGACCAATCATAGAGGAAACATGCAGAACAAATAAGGATATGGAGAATGAATCCCAGTAAGTTGAAGATTTTGTGAAACGTACATTTTAATTTAATTTAATTTTTTCATTACATTTATATCCTGCCCATATAGTGCCTAAGCACTACTCTGGGCAGCTAACAGCAGTTAAAAACACAACTACCCTCTTCACCCACAAGGCCATAAATAATGAGATCCAGAAAAACATTAAAAACATTTTGTGTCACATTGTCACTTACTACATTGAGCTTTGATGAAGAAAACTGGTCCTAAAGGTGAAGATATAGGATGATCTCCTAATCTGATACTGTAGGAATTCCTTGGCATTATGTGAACACCTTACATGGGTTTGCTTTGCTTGGGTAGCAGTTGTGATTTTTTTGAGGAAAGTCTTGCTTCATGCTCAATCAAATCAAATCCATCCCTTTCTGAGAGAAATAAAATAACATAAGCTTCAGTGTCAACAGATTCAGCATTAAGAAGTTTTTTTAAGGAATGAGAACTGCTGGATAGCTCAGCGGTTTAGGCATTTGGCTGCCGGAGTTTGAGAGTTCAATTCCCCACTGTGCCTCTTTGACAGGGGTTGCACTCAGTGACCCACAGGGTCCCTTCTAGCTCTGAATTTTCAAGAGGATGATGATTCTATGCAAAATATCAGACTTCTGTTCAGTCCTTAGAGGTCATGAAGTCGAAACATACAGATATTATAGACAATTTCCTTCTTTTTACAGCTACACCTTAATTTGCCTGTTTTAAATCCAGTTCTTAACACAGATGTTTTTATATATTATTTCTGAGGTCTCTCTTGCCATGTGTGTTGGGATTTTAAATGTGATTTTTTTTAAAAAAATGTTTGTGTAGAGAAACTGAAAATGCTCCTGTGGAAAAGATAGATGTGAGAAGCCGTCGGCAGAGACCAAAACCTAATATAATGAAGGCATCTTGCAGAAAAGAAGCACATGTCCAGTCCAAGCTCAATACACCCGAGCCTTGTGCAAGTGAACAAAAGGTATTCAAAATGCTGGGTTTATTCATCTTGTATGAACCATGTTGTTGTAAACACACATGGCTCATGGTCTGAGGAGACATGGGGACTTCTTGCCACTATTTGGGTATGAGGTGCTGCACTTCAGATTTTGGGCTGCCTTTATTGGTGGTCTCATCTTGATTTATAAGCCATGTTTGGATATTTGCATATGTATTAAATATCCAAAATGTGCCTTTATGCCTCTAGTTTTATGCACTTAAAATTAAATTGACCAAATTCGCATATACGTACCTGTGGGGCACAGGTCTACCTGGAAGATGTAAATTGGCAAAGATGTAAATTGGGTTAGTGTTTATAGTTTAACATAGAAGAAGACAAGAAGACAGATAAGGGAGTTTCTTTGTTAAGCAGCAAAAGGGCAGGGGGTTACAGAAACAAATACGAACAAAAAGAGGAGTAGAAAGGACACAGAAGATAATTCACAACATTGTAAACTATTCTTTATTTAGCTTTTTCAAAGAGAAACCGAAACCTACATCATTTTCAGCATCATCTTGAAAATATCATATGGAATACATTTTGTGTTCTCCTTGAAAGAGCTATATCAATTACCTCTGAGTGAGACTTAAGCTAAAAAATCAAGGAGCAGTATATGACCTCCTGTGCAGTAGCGAGGTCACCCCTTTCCACTTCCAGTTAGTGCCTTTCCTTTGCTTGTAAAGGATTGTAGTTATGAATGAAGGACAGGGAGACACAGGGCTCTGGAGTGCTTCTGTTGCCTTCATTTCTGATTTTGCATCAGTTACTGTTGACATGGTTTTGATATTGCTGCAAGAGCAGTCGGTGATGACATCCTTTGTGTGTCAGTTAAAATACGAGCTTGCAGGCTTATGGGAGAAAGCTGTCCCCAAGCAAGCAGGATACACATAGGTTTGCAATGCACCTGTACTTTGATCAGTTACATTAACATGCCAGATCAGTCACTTTGACCCACTTTGTTTGCCATTGTGTCCAATGTTTGCAAATTTTGCATGGTGATAATGATATGTTTTGGAAAGTCACATCGATTTACTTTTTTGTGCTTAATTCTTAGAACACTGCTCAGGAGGAGATACACAGTATCAGCGCTGGGTGCGCTTCTGAAAAAGACTCCCACCTTGCAGATACTGAACTTCTGTAAGTATGGCTGGAAGCAGGGAAGCGTGTTACTTTCTTTTGTCTTACACATTAGTGACAGTATCAATTAATAGACAAGATTGTTTGCTTGTAAAAACGTAGTAGCATCAGGTTGACTTAATTAATGTAGTCCTCCAATCTCCTAACACAAAACTCAAGGTCTAGGGCCTTTTGAAATCAACAGAAATATATGGGGCAGATATGATTTGTTGAAAATAAAGTCAGTTTCCACTGAAGGAAACAAAAAGTCAAATGAATAATCAATATTAAGAAAGGTTGCTGTCTTGGAATAGAACTCACAGATTCTGTAGCCCCCAAAAATAACATTTCAGAGGCCTAATTTGTTCAGAGATGCATCTTTTCAAACTTGATTTCTTTTCAGTTATATCTAAATATTTTTCTCTTTGTATATGCAGGAAAATAATTAGTGAGAGGCAATGTACAATCTGTCATTGTACCCATTGAAGGAAAATTGAACATGGCCTAGAAGGAAAGTTCAGTTTGAACAGAATATTAAAATCTAATGATGACATAGATCAAAGTTGTCTAACATTTTGATTAAAGTGTTCACATTTTGTGTCTGTTTTAGTGTATAACATCATTTGGGCTCATTCATTTTTTGTTGTTATGCTATGCTATGTTACTGTATTGACACCTTGTTGTAAGAAAGGACTATCCATTTTGACAGACATCTGGAATGGTGATTGGTTCAAATAATCACTTGCATGTAATTATAATAGAAAGGGTCTTGATTGTTTTTAGTTCGTCTGTAATTAATAGTGCTACACCTTTTGTACCCTGGAATAAATGTTTTTCAGGACTGCTAAGAAAACCGCTGTTCAAGAAAGTGGCAAGCAAACTATTCTAAAACCTGCATCATTAGCAAGGGGTCGAATGCAGAGGCCAAAGCCAAATTTAGGAAGACTGGTTAGAAGGCAAGGAGGGTCAGCAAAAAACACTGAAACAGAAGAAGCAAAGACAACAGAAGCAGCTGTTGAAGCAGAGATGACTCAGACACATCCTAAGTGTGGCAGCAGTGAACTCCTAAGTAAAAATGTTACTGTAAGTACAAAATACACAGAATATTTTCTGTTCATTTCACTCAGTGGGTGAATTAAGTATTAAGTACAGTCGTGCCCCACATAGTGAGGTTAATCCGTTCCGGATTAACCTTCGCTATGGGAAAACATCGTAAAACGGATCCAAAAAACCCATTGGAAATCATTAAACAAAGTTTGATGTGTTCCAAATGGGCCCAAAACTCACCGTTCTCCACAATGTTTTCCCTTGTTCCGGCAGCCATCTTGGGTGTACCGGTGGCCATTTTGAGCGTCCCGGCGGCCGTTTTGGGTGTACCGGCACCCATTTTTTGTGTTCCAGCGGCCATCTTGGGTGTATCAGCAGCCATTTTTTGTGTTCTGTCGGCCATCTTGGTTATTTGTGTTCCAGCGGCCATCTTGGGTGTATCAGCAGCCATTTTTTGTGTTCTGTCGGCCATCTTGGTTATACCGGCGGCCATTTTGAGAGTCCCGGTGGCCATCTTGGGTGTACCGGCACCCATTTTTTGTGTTCCGGCGGCCATTTTGGAACCGCTGAATAGCTGTTCCCCCATCGTAATGCGAGCATGCCCTCGCATTAGCGATGGGGAAATCCGCATCGCAATGCGGATTCATCGTTCAACGGTGCACTCGTTATACGAGGCACCACTGTATTACCAAAAATGCCAGATGCAGGGGAGTGATATCAGGAAACAGAGGCATCTGGTGGGGCCACTGTGAGATACAGGAAGATGGACTAGATGGGCCCTTGGCCAGATCTAGCAGGGCTCTTCTTATGTTCTTACCTGTGAAGAAGTTTGTGCTTTTCTGTATATTATCCAATATCTAAGGTGCCAGGGCACTCATTGGCTGAAATCATGTTGCTTAGAGTAGTAAGTCACAATTAGAGTAGGCCCATTGAATCAGAGGAGATTTGGTGAGCAGCTTCTCCGTAAGTTCTGTTGATCCACTGGACCTACTCTAGTGACTTACTATGCTAAATAACAGGATTTCAGCCACTGTCTTATTTTTTTTAAAAAAACATTTTATTAGTTTTTTACTCTATCTACATTTGATTTGTGCTTGTCAAATATCGTGTTACATGATTTGCTTACAATTATTTGATTTTTACACCTCAGTGTCTTCCCAGTTATCCCCCCCCAAATTCCAGACATCTTTCAAACATTCAAACCATTCATGTACGTATTTAGTATATAATATGGCTACTATCATAATATTACTTACGTAGTGTACAATATTCTCAAGATCTTCTAATAACATTCTTAATAAAAGTAGTTCCATGCCCCAACCTTATATCTAGTTTAATTTACCTAAAATGAAGGATTTCAGCCACTGTCTTATTATGGACAGATGTTTTACAGGTGAATTCTGAGACTGAGAGATTTAGTGGTGTCTTGTTATCATCCTCTGAGTACATCTGCCAGGTTCCCACTGAGTATTTGTGCCGATGGAAGAAGCTGCATCAACAAAAGAAAGTTATTTCCTTCTCTATGCTTTGCCCACAATCTCTGTCCTTCTCTTCCTTCCAAGCCCCCTCCAGCACCTGAAATGCACCTCTGAAGGATTTCCTAGACTTCAAAGCAGAGCCATTTTAGCACCTCAGAGAGTGCTCAGGGGGCAGCAGGGGAGGCCGAGGAAATTCCTCTCACTGGATCTACCTTCTGTCAGCACACCTTCCCAGTGAGAGCTTGGTTGTGTGATGTCTACGCAAACTGTCTATAGACAAACGCTGGCTCTACAGCTTGGAGACAGGGATAAGCACCGCGCTCTAGAGTCGGACATGACTGGACTAAATGTCAAGGGGAACCTTTACCTAGATTTAAAAGAACTTTGTACTTTTATTTGGGTACACTCACTATATTTATTCATGTATTGTTCCTTATGAGCTCTTTCGTTTGAGAGGATTCAGAGAAGTTTAATTTGTTTCCTAGGAGGCACACACTTATGAAGTTGACATGGCGTCCTCTGAGGAATTGGAAAACATGACTGTTGCTAGTGCTGTGCAAGAAAGCCCAGTACATATGAGCCAATCTCCTGTAACGAAGCCATTAGAATGTGAAAGTCCTAAGCTACAAACTGCTTCTCTGTCAAGTAGCATCTTGGGGGATGTGGCAGATCTTTCTACCAGGTAGACTAAATATATCTTGAAGTGAAATAGAAAAATGTATAAAGCTATTGCCTTGAGAAGGAGAATACATTGCAATATTTATGTTTGTGGTACACCTTCCACGGGTAGCAAATCCGTGGTTTTTCAGGTATCACTGAAGTCCAGCTGCTTTCAGCACTGGCCATTATGATCAGTGGTCAGAGATGATGAGAGTTGTCATCAGTATTTGGAAGCCACAGGTTTTGTCCCTTTTGTCTATGCTGTATGAATTCTCTTCACCCAGTTCAGCTATGTTTACTGTGTCCAGTGATCCTGAAAAACAAACGAGGGTTCTCTTGCAATATCTAGGTCTGAACTCTTTTCACTGGTGGATTATTGATTATGGAAGGAGAAAGGACTCTGAATCTCAGTGATTAGAAACATAGCACCCTTTCCCCAGAAGGAAGAGAGTCTTAACATTGAGTCATGCTGGAGCCCAGTCTAGCCCAACAGCTTTCCAACTTCTCAGGCCGGCATTTCTTAATAAAGCTACATAAGGTTTTTTATTTTTTATTTTTTATTTTTAAATGAAGGTCACATTTGAGGTATTCTGCTTATCAACCACTGTTCACTGCTCTGTAATGACCTTATGTTCACATGCAAGTGTTGATTGCTTGGTATGAATCCTGCATCTCCCCTTCTTCCATTGGTTTGTTTCTTTGTCTTAGAACCCAGTGAACATGATAATTACTATTCATGGACTTGGGACTGAGAAGGCAAGTTTACTGCACCATCTGTTGCATATGTTCTGATTATTGCATCTGCTCCTATGGAGTTAGATACAGGCACAGATTTTAGATGATTTTCATTGTATATTGCTTCTGTCTTTATTTGCTTTTATGATTGACATGTATAGTTTATTCTTGCTCCTGTTTTACTATATTACGTGGCAAGTTGAAATATATTTCCCTGAATTGTTATACTGATCAGTACTGCCTTTATGTTAATGTTTGTGGTATTTAGATTTTTAAAAATGAAAACAAATCCTCCTGGTAGTTGTCGGTTATTATAGCTGTCATAGTTCTATTGGGTGTTTTTTTTTCTTGACCAACTAGAGATTTCAGTCTTCAGCAAGAAGAAAAGGAATTTTTGGCTGAAACAGAAGAGTCCCTGAAGAGCTACTCCCCGAGTTTAAGCCGGAACTTGGGAAAGGAAGTAGAAGAAGGTGATCCACTGCAAATAGGAAAAGAGGTGCTGGGCAACAAACATGAGTCTGAAATGGCAGAAGAGAGTTTAGTAAACATCAGTAGAAAATGCAGCAAGTCTTCTAACCTGGATGTAAGACTTTTTTCTTAAAGCAACTGGTTTGCTTTTGGCAGTTTATATAACGCTGCAACTTAAAGAAAATTTCCTTGTTCACAGAACACAACTGGTTTGCTTTTGGCAGTTTATATAATGCTGCAACTTTTAGGAAAGAAAATTCACTTGTTCACAAAACATATTAATTTTGCTCTTGTTAGAAAAGATTTTTTTAAAATCTCTAATATTCTTATTGAGAGCACTATAGTATAGGGAAATATGTGCTGGCAGCAAGTTTACATGGAATGAATGAATGAATGAATGAATATTAATTTTGCTCTTGTTAGAAAAGGTTTTTAAAAATCTCTAATATTCTGATTGAGAGCCCTGTCCTTTATAGTATAGGGAAACATGTGCTGGCAGAAGTTTACACATTTTCTGTACTAGATAATTGGTTGACCTTGGGTCATAATCAAGAGAGCAATGGAATTTCTTCTCATACATCAGTGGAGCTCCTAATGTATCATGGAAAGGGTTGTTGAAACTCAAAATATTTTGTTTCATTTTTGTCTTTGTTTTATAGAGGAAGTTCAGGCTTTAAGAAGAGCAGAAATCAAAATCATTCTGCAAAAAAGTGTGTGGATGATAGTTGTGAGAGCTTATAGTATTTTTTGTATGTTTTTACAATTACCCTTGTATTTAGGGGCAGGATTATAGTGAATTCTTTATATAAACTACAGAACTAAAACAGACATCTGTCAATTGCTAATGAAACAATTCAGTTAGTTTACTGCCACTCATTTTGTGTCACAATGTTGAAAGCTGAATATTATTTTGCATGGCAAAAGAACAAGATTTTGATAGCTCTTTCTGATCATTGATATTCTACTACTTGGATTTCCTGCATTATTTTTTTCCTCTCGTTTTTTATATCTGACTCACAGATATTTTGCACATTGAAATTTTCCATTTGTATTTAAGTAAATATTTGAACATTTTGATTATATTCTAGGAGGAAGCAAACTGCAGAATTGTGCCCTCTATGGATAATCAAGAGGCTGTTACAACAAGCAAACTCCTTCTATCTCCTCCAAATTCTTTAGAATGTAAGAACAGTGAGCAAAATGAAGTGCTAGTATCCTCAGATATCCAGAAAAATATTTCAGTTGGGTAAGGATCTGCTTACTTTTATTGGAGGAAGAGAATGTCTTATACTTTTACAAGTACTCTAAAAAATGGAAGGGAAATCAGTTGCCTTACAGTCAATTAATGATTGTTGCAGTTCACTGGTTTGTAATTTATTGGAATTGGAATGCAGTTAAAAACCATAACCAGCAAAATTGCTGTAGAACGAAAACATCGTAATGCGAAAATAAAAAGCCCATTGGAACGCATTGAAACCCCTTCAATGCATTCCAATGGGCTGGAAACTCATTGTCCAGTGAAGATCCTCCATCAGGCGGCCATTTTCGAGAAAACAGCGGGGAGCCATTTTATTTACCTGGTGGCCATTTTGAAACCGCTGATCAACTGTCCAAAAATCGTCATTTTGCGAAGAATCGGTTCCCGAAGCAGGGAACCGATCATTGCAAAGCGAAAAACCCCTATTCATACCATCGTTTTGCAATCACAATTGCGATAGTGAAAAGATCGTCGTAATGCGGTTTCGTCGTAATGCGGGGCAATCGTAAAGCTAGGCACCACTGTAATTTATTGGAACTGGAATGCAGTTAAAAAACATAATTGAAAAGTAAGCTTTTAGTGATGAAATGATTGCTGTTTGATTGCCTGGTTTCAAAACTGTGTAAACTTAGTTGGATAACAACAAGTTATCTTCTCCCCTCTGGTTGGCTGGCCTGATATGGGTGGGCCAAGTACCTGTGAAAGAGAGAGAAAAACTTAGCCACTATCCCTGTATGAGTGGGGGTGGGGTGGAACCCTATGATTGGTCACTTTTCATGTATCGGAATGGTAGGCTTGCCAATTTCCAGAGATTTTCTGTTTTCTTGTCTGACTTCCCTTCTCCCAGTGCTGTATCAAATGCCATTCCTTAGGGCTTTCTGACATTCTAGAGCAGTTCTTCATGGGCTTGCAAGAGCTATCTTAGTATATATACATGGAACAGAACATATACAGTAGTTCAATTTCTACAAGTTATAACTGACTGATAAATCTTTAAAGGAATCATGAATGTGTAATTTAGGAACTTGTAAGCAATGTAACACATAAGTAAATTCTGTAATGAACACAGGGTGAATATTTATGGCTTATTTTTAGGCCCTCCCAAGATCAAATGTTAAAAGGAGCAAAACCAATAAACCCTAATAAGAAAAGTACCCCTTTTTCTGTTTAGGGGTGCATAATAATAAACATATGGATTATCTGTTACAGTGATACATAACTTGTGGGTTTAGGAGATGAAGTGTCTGAAGTATAGAAGTAATTTAATTGCAGTACTGTACAACCTTTTTCCTCCCTTGTTCCTCCAGTGAAGAGAATTCACAAGGAGTAAGCAAACAGAGTGTTGTTCGACCACCACTGCTGCTCAGAAGCAGATTCCAGAAACCCAGACCCAATATAGGAAGGGCAGTTGGGAGAAAAGAGGTTCAATCTGTTGAAGGAAATGAAGCAACAGGAGCAGTTACTGCAGGAGAGAAATCGGAGATACAAAAACCTGAACCCTTTGGAACTCTCGCTGTAGTCGTAAGTTCCAGAAAAATTCAGACTGGATTGTGTGTTGACTAGTTAAGCAGTAACAGATTTAGAATTTGAATGATTCTTGTTTCTGTGTTTTCACAAATATAGTATCAAACTGAGTTTATTATTGCTAATTGTTTCCTCAATGTGATGTTATTGCTTAGAATATTAGTTGGGGGGGGTTATACAGTCCTGTTTCTCTATTAGTCTTTCTATCACCCTGTATATTTATTTTAAATGTTTTTATGTCACCTTTCTAGGCAAAACCTCCCCAAATCTTACCTGCTGAAGCTTTAGAGAACAAATCTGCAGATAATGAGAAGAAAATTCCAGAAGATTCCCAAGTGCCCAGTACCTCTCCCAGTATTTCAGATCAATGTCTCAGGTATAGTCTGAAAACATGGTATTTCCCCCCTAAATTATCTTATATGCACATACACTAGGGTCGTTCCCAAACACATTTTTAAGAATGTAGTACTCTGCTTCTCTCACAATTTGGTGTTGAGCACTCACAAAATGTGGGTCTTTGTAGGGTGCTTCCCTCTCCTTTCATATTTTTTTTGCCTCTGAATAGTAGGTAGAAAGGAAATGAAACCTCCTTTGGACATTGAAAATAAACAAGGGTGAGCAGGGCCACCCCATGGTCGTCCCACACCCAGTGTTTTCAGATAGTCTATGTGTGTCATCTTTTGGCAGCTGGCATGGACCTTCTGGATGAGTGCTATATGAATATACAAATAGCTGCTTCAGACATGTGTTGACTCCCTTCTGTAACATATTGTCCTTTGTGTAACAGAGAAAAACCCATTCTCCAAGAGGGTAAACTATCTGTTATCAAGCCAGCTCAGTTGGTGAGAGGGCGATTCCAGAGAGCCAGGCCAAGCCTTGGAAGGATTCCTGGCAAAAAGGAAGAAACTGTGCCAGAAAACATTAATGCTTCAGTTGAGAAAGAAGTAGGAAAACAGAGTGTGGAGATCTTCAAGAGAGGTGATTTGGAGCCACCTTCAAAGGTTAGCCATTTGACATAGTTTATTTATTTATTTTTAGATGCTTATAAACACTGACTGCTTCAACAGAAAAAGTACTTACGGCATGCCAGACTAGTTTCTTAGAAAGAAGTAGGAAAACAGAGTGTGGAGATCTTCAAGAGAGGTGATTTGGACCCACCTTCAAAGGTTAGCCATTTGACATAGTTTATTTATTTATTTTTAGATGCTTATAAACACTGACTGCTTCAACAGAAAAAGTACTTACGGCATGCCAGATACATCTAGTTTCTTGTGCACCTTTTTAGTGTGTGTGAATGTGAGTGAGTCTTCCCTGGGAAGCTCTGCTTCAAGCATGGAAGCTCTATCAGTTTTTCCTTACTTTAGCCACTCAGCTGATATTTATCAGAGATGAACTGGAAGGTGCCTCTATATCTTCCAAAGCTATTGACCTATTTATCCCCTTCCTGGAGAAGTATGCTTCTTTTGAACAAGTGAATTGTAGAGCATAATAGACATGTCAGAGTTATTTATTTATTTATTTATTGGATTTCTATCCAGCCCATCTAGACCAAAGGTCTACTCTACCACTTTGTCTGTCCTCTAAATGTGCATTGTGTTGTTTCCAGAAACATAATAGTAGAAATCAGCCAGTTATACCATATTGTCGTTCAGCAAGAAGTAAATGAGGCCTCCTTGTTCATAGAGTGACATGCTTGCCCTTTTGTTTCATTCTCTGGCTTTTCAACAAGAAGTAGTTTGGAGGCTTTCATGTCTGCTCTTGATTAAGTGCAACATATTGTGTCATCTGAATCTGAAACAGTACTTAATCTCAACTGTAGTTTGTTCTAAACAAACCAGCTTTGTAAACTACGATTTGAAGCTGGCTTGTCTGAAATTAACTGTAGTTAAGACTAACCATGGTTTCAGGTGTACATGAAAGAACAAGCTATTCTTATATTAAACTGAATCCAAGAAAACTTTTCCCAGTTATGCCAAAGGATGGGGAACCATGTGTGCCTGGACAGAGGCTAGACTTGTTCATGTCTCACTAAGCTTCAACTTGATTTCCCTTATGCGGTCAACAAAATGTTTTTCATACATTCTATTGCTAAGTATTTAGAATTTCTCCTCCATAAATATTCATTTTACATTTATTTATTCATTTATACTGTATTTTATTGTATTTATACAATACATTTCCCCCATAAATAGCTTTTGTTAATCAACAATAGATTGTCTTATATGGCTAGAATATTGGTGCTAATATGATTATGTAGAGCAAGCACATGAGGAAAGTGAGCTGTTTTCTGGGCTGTTTCTTGTGCACCCAACCATTGACTGGCTATGTAATCATTCTTGGGACTGGGAGCCCAGAAAAGGTAATGACTGGTTGTGTGAATGCCATAAAAAACTCAGTACGATTTTGGGCTACGAAATGTATTATTGAATAAAGGTTGTGTGAATTAGAAAGGCTAGACTTTCTGGCTTAGTTTATTACCAGTCATCATTTAATAACCTTGCACAGGACTTGAACAGAAAATCCTGAACTGTTGAGTATCTTTAGATTGTACAGGGAAATTCTGGTGCAGATTAATTTCTGAATCATAATCTGGATGAATCCTTTAGGGCTATGTCTGTTAAATAAATTCACAAAAAACATGTTCTAACTGTAAAGGAAGAAGTCATTGTTCAAGCATCGCTGGATAATGTGGAGAAAAAAGATGGCTCAGAATCCAATGAAGGCACGTTACCAAAAATATGCATTGATCAGAAGAAACTTTCTTCATCTGAGAACTCACAGGGATGTGTACTTCTTATACATGAAGAAGAGGAATATGCATCTAACAATGATGATGAAGGAAAACACCTGGATATTCCTGAAAGGTACAGCATTTCTCAGTAAAGAAATGAAATTGCGCCCTAAGAACCTAATGAGGATGAGGATCACAATGTAATCTTAGAACTGCAAAGCTGGAAGGGACTCTTTGGATCATCAAGTCCAGCCCCTCTCAAGGAAGCCCAGTGGGGAATCCAACTCCAAACTTTTGGCTCCACAACCATATTATTTGTGGCAGCTATATAAACTGTCCAGCAGTTTCATCTCTTTTGCCTTCTATAAGTAGCCACTGATCTTCAGCACCAGCAGTAAAGAACTATGTTTGAGAAAGAGAGGATTAATCCGTTTTTGTATTTGTCTCATGGGTTTATGTGAGTAAGCCTTAAATAGTTCAAATTGGTTCTGGTTTTCTGATTTTCAAAGGAAAAATATTACTGGTATATAAGCAAACAAATCTAGATTTGCATAAAAGGATGTTTCCAGCAATACTTTAAAAACTGGTATGATATTGTTTGTTTCTCTTTCTGTTTGATTAGTGACATTTCTGCTACTAAAGAAATAAGTCAGCTGAAAAGTACCAAGCCTGTCGAGCCCACAAGGAGTCATTTTCAGAAGCCAAAGCCAAGTGTAACCCCAACATCTAAAAAGAATGAAGCTGTTCCTTCAGAAGATATCAGCACACAAGGCATGGCTGGAAGAGATACAGAAAAAGATGCAACTCCATGTAGCAGTGCATCTGGAAATATGTCTCCATTAATTGTAAGTGCTAACTAGTTATTCAAAACAATTTGTATTTGTAACTGTGGTCATTGATTATTTTTACTATAAGTACATTTTGTTATGTTTCATGTAATTTGGTTTGATACAAGTTATCAGATGTCAGTCTTCGGTTGCCTTTTCTGTTTAATTAATGGTATTATATCTTTTGTTATTTTATTATTTTAATTTTTTGTATGCTCTGTTTAATCATGTAAACCTCCTGGAGTAGTGTTTCACTAAGTTGTGTGATTTATAAGCTCTACAAACAAACAAACAAACAAACTTTTGTTTGACTACTTTATCGTTGCTGGATTTGCGGAAGCAGATTAGGTAGCTAAAGTTGTGTACATTCAACCCATATGAATTATCATGTAAGATGATTTAAAAGAAATAAGACTTCTAAGATAATGTGTACAGGCCAACACTTGGTTGCAATAAAGTCCTATCAAGAGTGAAATCGCTAAGAGTGTTTCACTTTTCCATTAATGCCTCCCATTAGTACACTGAACACTGTTTCAAAGGTCTAACATTGTTTGGGAAGTACATAAAATTGCAATAGAAAAAAGGAAGCAGGATGTTTTGGGGTTTGTCTTTTGTTGAATCTGTTCTTTAAATTTCTTAAATATGACTTTTATAAAAATATTAAAAACTGTTAAACAGTGCTTTATTTATCGTAATATAGAGGTATGAATCTCAGTCTAGTTGATGAGTCAATACGTATCTGAGTTCTGTAGCTCCATTTTAATTGGGATAAGCAGTTGGACATAGGCCATGCTGCTTTGGTTATATTTAACAGTTTGTGGTTTTCTCTTTTTTCTTCTTCTTTATTTCCTGCAAAAATGTCATAAAGTGGTAGCTGCATAGTTTTCTTCTCTGGGCCTAGCATGGCTCTGATTTTTCAAATTGCCTGTGATCTATTTTTAGTAAATTAGGCATGGACTGTAGTTGCGTATCAAGGAGTGTTGTATCTGGTGGAAAGGTATAATATATAACCATAACAAATAAGTACATGAGTACAAACAGAGCAGACTTCAGTCTTGATGGGCGGGGTATAAAGTGAATGAATGAATGAATGAATGAACAAAGGCAATACATAAGTACAAACAAAGACAGAGCTGCCTTTTTTCGATAATAAACAGAGCCTTTGAATGCCTGGTGTAGAAAGAGAGGGGTATATATGTAACATACAATTTCAAAAATAGAGCAAAATTCAGTGTATAGGTTTGTGTTTAAAAATTTTGGTTTTCTGTTTTTGTTTAAGGCTGGGTTGGAGAGAAAGGATCTCAAATTGTTTAAGAAGAACACTGAAAATGTAAACGTGTTTTAACTTAACATACTTTTTCGTTCTTTTCAGGATATTTCTCAGAATTCAGTGGAAAGTGCATCAATTGTTAAATCTTTGAAACAGAAGGCATGTGCAGACAGCACGGAAGCAGTATCTGTGAAAAGAAGCAGGCACTCTGGGAGACCTGACTTTTCAGAGCAGTCCTCAGAGAATGAAAGTGAAATCCAGAAAGAAATCTCTAAACCCCTGTCTGTCCAAGAAAGAAGACTGAAAGGGTAAAAATGTACCTTGAGTGTTTTCTTTTTCCTGGAAAGTCAGGATATAAATATCTGTTTGAGTACATCAGACTACAATATTTCAAGGTCTATACTGTTATGTAAATTAAATGCAGGCTTCTAACGGCGTATGTTATCAAAAGCTGTGTCGTTTTTGGAAGTTATTTTGGCATCTCTTTCCTCATACAGGAAATATAATTAAATATTTCCAAGGTTTAATCATATTTTATCAAAATATATTTTATTTTGTAGAAAGCAGCCAGAAAGAACACAGAAACAAAAGAAAAACTCTGGCGATTCAAAGATGTTTTGTGCTTCGGAGTGCGAGAGTGACCTCAGCAGAAAAGGAAAACACTACCAAAAGAGTAAAGCAAATGTTAGCAGAGGCAAAAGCTTAAAACCAGCTCTTCGCAAGAAGCCCAGAAAAGAATATGGAAGTGCCAAAGTTAGCTTGGTAACTCTTAGGGCTTCTTCTCAGGAAGAAGATGACGATGACGATGGTGATGACTTTGAGCCAGATTATGAGGTTGAATGCTTTTCACCCGAGGAAGTAAACAAAGCTCCAGTGTTTGTCCCAAAAGGACTTCGGTCTCCAAACCCAGTTCCTGTTCAGATTGAAGAAACTATGGAAGAGGTACAACAGAAATGGCTGCATTTATATGCCTTTTCAGTGTGTGTTTCTGATTATTCTTAGAAAAGATGTACAACAGCCTTCAAGCCTAAATTAGCATCAGTAGCCCCCCTGCCTTCCCATTTTTTTTTATTTATTTAAAATATTTTTACTCCACGTTTCTGCTTTAAAAGGATCCAGTATGTCTTACATCATTAAAAGGCAATGTATAAATCTAAAAACAGTAAGTACACAAATACTAAAAGGGATCAAACAAACAACACACTAAAAACACTAAAAGAAAGCAACACCAAAAACACATTCAAAGCAGTAAGGCACAACACTTCATTTGTAAACCTCACTCAGGCAGACAGTCACTGAGGAAAAGCTTGTCTGTAGAGAAAGGACTTTGCCTGTTTGTGGAAGGACAGCAAGGACAGGGCTAGCTTGGCCTCCTTTGGGAGGAAGTTCCAAAGTCGGGGAGCAGCAACAGACAAGGCCCTTTCCCACCAAACACACTGGTAAAGGTGGTGGGACTGAGAAAAAGGCCTGATGATCTTAGCATCCAAATAGGGTCATAAAGGAAGACACAATCCAAGCTGTTTAGCTGTTTGAACCAGCACTTTGAATTGTGCCCGGAAATCGGCAACCAGTGGAGCTGCTGTAACAGAGGGGTTATGTGATCCCTGGTTATCAATCCCAGTTAGCAATCTGGCTGCCATGTTTTGAAACTGCTGAAGTTTCTGGACACTTTCAGGAGGAAGTTCCATGTAGATCATGTTAAAGAAATCCAGCCAGGATGTAACTAAGGGAGCTGATAGGGTTCATAATATGTGCGAATAATGGAAAAACCCAGCTCCCTTTGAGGATCAAAACTACCTGTTTTACATATTCCTGTATGCTTCATTTTTAACAATTCACATGTAATTGCATTCCTTGGCATATTTACTGAGAAGTAGATCCAAGGGATGTGGTAGCGCTGCGGGCTAAACCGCAGAAGCCTGTGCTGCAGGGTCAGAAGACCAGCAGTCGTAAGATTGAATCCACGCGATGGAGTGAGCACCCGTTGCTTGTCCCAGCTCCCGCCAACCTAGCGGTTCGAAAGTATGCAAATGCAAGTAGATAAATAGGGACCACCTCGGTGGGAAGGTAACAACGTTCTGTGTCTAGTCGCACTGGCCATGTGACCACGGAAGATTGTCTTCAGACAAAACGCTGGCTCTATGGCTTGGAAATGGGGATGAGCCGAACACGACTGGACAAAAATTGTCAAGGGGAACCTTTACCTTTACCTTAGATCCAATTTTTACATAAATATCTTTGGGAGAGAGTTGTATTTTGAGAACTGTGAAATATTTGGCACTTGTCAATCATTTTTGAAATTTATGGGTTTCATGTATGCTAAGGCTGCAGAAGGGAATTGCAGTATACAGATGGAATCATTTAGGTTTTGGGTAACGTATTTTGCTTTTGGGGAATAACAAAACTGACCTATCATGCTTTTCTCCATTCTTTCCTGATAGCTTGAGATATATGAGAATGTTGCAGATGAATCATGTCTGCCCCATGAGCTGCATGTACATGCTCAACCCATGGTACAGGAAGTTAACCAATTATACTCCTCGCAGGTTGTATTTTTTTTTATTTTCTTGTTTGTTTGTTTCTCTCTCGTTTGAATATAAGTTGGCCTAAAGTAGTCAAAGTGAAATGTTGAATGCTTGAAATGTTGAGAGTAAGAAGCAAAAAGCAAAGTGTACTGTTTATGATACCAAACCATAGTGCTTAAGGCACTTACGTTATGATACCAAACCATAGTGCTTAAGGCATTTACAGGGTGATTTACAATTTAATTATGCAGGCTATACATTGACACACACACCCCCCCGCTGGGTGCTGAATTTACCACGGGTGCTAGTGAAAACCAAATCCTCCCACTCTTGTTTTCCTAGATTTGCTGTAAAGGGATGTCAACTTAAGTTTAGATGTTTGTTATTGTCCACTACATCTTTATCTAGAATTAAGGAGGGCGGGGGGGGGGAGTAAATATTTGTGGGGGTGGTTGTCAGATTACCCTCATTAAAACAGTCTTTGAACACACATTTGCTAGGAATGTTGACGATTTTATTGAATCTCTTGTCCTTTCCCTGTTACTATATACTTTGGTACAATAAAATCTATAGAATTATTTAAAAATGAAAAAAATGTTATGGCACCTCAAAAACTATTATATTTTACTGTGAACATTTGTGGACAAGTTTGCTTCTTCAGAGCTCAAGACAATCTGAGGAAGTAGACTTGTCTCCGAAAACTCATATTAAAATATAGCATTTAGTCTTTAAGGTGCAATGTTTTTGTCTTTATTTTTATTTATTTTGTTTTTGACCTGATATGCTAGCACAGGCTAACATGGCTACCTCTTCTAAAACTGGAATTATTGATTCTGAAGTTAGGCATAATATTGCCTACGTAACTTGTGAAATGTAATTTGCAGAATTACAGTCAGGAAATTAAGTAATTGACTTGCATTTCTTTATTCCCAAGGTTTTTGTACAAGAAGAACAGAAACCGGAAACAGGTAAATAGTCTAGAGTCTCCATACTGAACTAGTGAAGCATCAATGAGGGCATGTTTGTGAATTTTAATATTACTGAGGGTAAAATAAAAGAGGTCTTCCCAAATCTCTTAATTCACCAAAATAAAAAATAACCACCAAAGACACTTCTACCTTGGAATAAGTACAATTAAAGACAATTCCCAAGACCCAGTAGGCCTGTCTAGTTGCTGGCAGAACTGCTGGCATCAGCAGAAATATGAGTGTTTGATTCCTTGGCCTGCAGGACACATCCCCGGTATGACTTAAAGACCTTTTCCAGAGATCTGGGAAGCTCTAGAGCCAGTTTTTGCATGCTATGGAGGACTGCCGAGCTGAAAAGAAGAATGTTCTGTTATGCTAGTAGATTATCAGATTGTTGGATTTAGTTTAATAAGACTAATTTTTGATCTGACATATTGAGAACTGCATTGTAAAAGAAGAATTTGCACATCACTTGGAAGTTTGTGAATAGGAGATGGTGAACTGAAAATTGCCTTTAGTGCAAGCAATTTTGTTTGATTTATTGGTGAAATAAAGTGTACCTGAGTTTGTCTGTAAAAAGGCATGTCCACATTTTTTCAGGGATCAATGATGGAAGCACTGAAGCAGCCATGACTTTACTTGCTATGAGAGATCCAGTGTTCCAGTTAAATATTGGCACTCAAGGTATTTTCACAATGGGTTTCACTTGTAAAACATTGAAACTAATGTTGAATGAATAGATCCATTGGAATGAAACCTAGCATACTAGTCTTTCTCTTCTTTCATCTCTTCTTTCTTATGCAGTGTGAACAGAACCACTCAAGGTTTATGTATCAAAGCCAAATGAAAACAGGAGAGAAATACATGCATTTATTATTTATTATATAAACTTTTACATTTTACATAGGAATGTAAAATTCCTAAAGTTTATGTAGGGCAGTTTTGTAAAACAGCTATACAAAAACAATGCAAGTTTTATGACACAGTAATAAAATACAGAATAAAAGGCAGCAATATCTTATGAGCTATATGACCTGATATGCTAGCACAGAAAAATAAATGTAAAAGGTTTGCAAAAATAAAACATTGTTAGCATGACACCAGAAAACAAAATAGGTTCATAGACAGATCTCTCTATGGGAAAAGAGTCCATAAATGGAGTGCCATCCAATAAAAAGGAAAATGAATAATAAATATTTTTCAAAATAGAGAAGAAAACCGGGCAGGGGATAGAAAAGGTTAAACTAGATGACTATTATCTGCAAGCCTTCCTCAGTTCTGAACCTTTTCAGTAATGAAGGATCAAGTTAGCTCATAATTGCCCCAAGGAGCAATTGCTTCAAAAGAAATTCCACCTGAATCTCAGGAAGAATTTCCTGACAGTCAGAGCTGGTCGGCAGTGGAATATGCTGCCTCGAATGATGGCGGCGTCTTCTCCTTTGGAGGATTTTAAGCAGAGGCTGGATGGCCATCTGTCGGGAGTGCCAACCATCTGTCAAATGTACTTTGATTTGATTTAACTGCTTTGAATGTGTTTTAGTGTTGCTTTTGTTTACCATTTTTTAGTGTGGTATTTGTTCAGTCTTTTTTTAGTATTTGCATACTCACTGTTGTTAGCTTTAAATACTGTACTGTATTTTAATGATGTAAGCTGTCTTGGATCATTTTTAAGGAGAAAGGCAAGGTAAAAATGTTTAATTTATTTATTTATTCCATTTATACCCTGCCTATCTAGTCATATTGACCACTCTTTAAAATAAAAGCATTTCCTACATTGAGTAGGGGCCTTGTAGACCCCTCTCCAACTCTATGATTCTGTGAGATTTGTGTTGAAACCAGTGGGACTTAATTAGAATTAGACTTATTTTTCACAGGTTTCAGTGGGAACTAAGCTCAATTATGCATGAACCTAACCTGTTGTGGCCAATATAAAATATATAATTTTCCTTAGATGGTCCATCTTAGCTCCAGTTGCAGAATGTTAGGTTTTAAATCCCATGGATATTTTAGTACAATATACTGTAATGTAATTAAGCGAAATCTAGACAGGATTTCAAATTGTGACCTTGAGCTTCTTGGTCGAGTTCCATAATTTAAATGTGTATATTCCAACAGTCATATGTACAAAATTTAAGGAATACTTTTTCAACTTTTTATTTTTATTAAAAAAGAAAACCCACAGGAACAAACCTACAAAGATGAACTGAATACTTCTGATAACTTGCACAATGAGCACTATGAATCTGAAAGGATAGTCCCTTGTACTGTGTCATGTTCTGCTGCTTCAGAAAATGAACTGGTTCCTTCAGACGTCATGAACAGAACTACTACAGAGGATTGCACCAATGAACCATCTCAAACAAGAAACTGTCTGCAGGAAGATGTTTATGTGCCGCTTCCTCCTCCTTCAGAAAATGAATTGGGTTCTCTGTGTAGTACTGCAGGTTTGGAAGATTGTTCACAGGAAAAAAGCAGAGCCAGCAGGTTTGTGTTACTACCTTACATCATTTTGTTAGGAATCTGACTCATTGTTTTGCCTTGTAAATATTATTACGTTGATATGATATCTCACAATTGTGTAATTAACTTTCCCAGGTCTTCTCCATTCTAGTTTCATTTTTCTACCACACCCTATCTAAATATAGGTGACAATACAGTAACATTCTGTACCTCTAATGCTCTTCTTTTGTTAGATCTGTGCCTTGAAGCATCAGATATTTGTAGCTTTTCCTTAGGCAGCACAAGACCTGTAAGTCTTAAGGAGAATCACCTTGCAGCACTGTTGAAAGTATTCAGGAGCCTAAATACAGTGGTGCCTCGCAAGACGAGGTTAATGCGTTCCGCAAAAATCACTGTCAAGCGAAATCGTCGTTAAGCAAAACGCGGTTTTCCATAGAAAAGCATTGAAAACCGGATAATCCGTTCCAATGGGAATGGATTGTCATCATAAAGCGAAAATCGCCATAGGAAACATCGTTAAGCGAAACGTGTTTCTCAAGCGAAGAGAGCCGTCTAACAAAATAGTGACAATTTAAAAACCCGTTTAGTGAATCAAACCCGAGCTGTCAAAACATTGTAAAGCGAAAAACAGGGACCTAAAATTTAACCGTCTTGCGAGGCAAGGTCCCTAACATCGTAAAGCGAAAATCGCCCATAGGAAACATTGTTAAACAGAGCGCAAGATCGCTCCAAAAACCTCATCGTAAAGCAAATTCATCATTAAATGAAGCAATCGTCTAGCGAGGCACCACTGTACCTCACTTTTCCCCAGCACTACTCATGTTTTAGTTGTACCTGGCAGTTGTAAATCTACCACATAATACTCATTGAGGAAACTATCAGAGGAATCTGTATGTAAATTCTAGCCATCTGCACGAGGTTCCTGCGTTGGTGCTCAAGATGTTTACTACTTTTTTGCCTGATTAAAGTTCACATAGAGTGTTCAGAGCACTGGGAATACTTATTGATATGTTATATTTCTCTGCAGTGACATACCAGTTTCCAAAAGAAAAAAAACACCAAGGCTGGAAAGATTCAGATTTCCTAAGCCCAAACCAAATCTTAACAGAGGTCTGGGGTTAAAGCGGAATGCTTCCCAAAGGTCTCTTGGCTTAAGTTCAGAGGAAGAGCTATTTAATGAAACCAAGAATGGTGAGTTCTTAGTCCTTTACATTTGAAAGAATGGCAGCAAATGATGGGGGATATTTGTCTGTCCATTGGTATCTATCAGTAGAATTAACAGAAAGTGTTCAGGTTTGGAAGAATTGATTTATTAGATTTGTACACTGCCTTTCCATAAAAACGATAGTCCTCAAGGCTGTGTAGAAAGAAAGAGTATATGGGGTGTGCATGCATGTATTTGTGTTGTTTTTTAATTAAAATTAGACACCATCAAATAACTCCCCCAAATACTGAATAAACAGAAAGAAAGAGGGTTGTGTTGTTGTTGTTTAGTCGTTAAGTCGTGTCGGACTCTTTGTGACCCCATGGACCAGAGCATGCCAGGCCTTCCTGTCTCCCACTGCCTCCGAGAGTTGGGTCAAAACCATCTCGTCCTCGGTCGTCGCCTTCTCCTCTTGCCCTCACACTTTCCCAACATCTGGGTCTTTTCCAGGGAGTCTTCTCTTCTCATGAAATGGCCAAAGAAAGAGGGTAGTGTGGTGTAATGAATAGAATAATGGAATAAGATTCAGGAGACTTGAGTTCAGTTTTTCAGCTGCACTATGGAAGTGTACTAGGGGGTGGAACTGGTAAATCCACTCCATAAATGCCTCAGTTACTGCGAAAACCCTATTAGGGTCACTAATTAGGGTCACTAATAGGGTTTCAGAGTAACTTGACAGTGCATAACAGCAATGAGAAAGAGTAGTCATATGCAGTAAGAAGGGATAAAAACCCAGACAAATCAGATTAAAATATCCTGCAGCAACACATCAGCTGAGATACCCAGACCCTGTTTGAATTAGAATACCCCTATACTGTATAGTCATTACCTAATTGGCTGTTATTAGCACACAGAAAGGAGTGACCAGCCTTCTACTCTCTGTTGTTGGGTTTTTCCCCCAGGAGAGCACAAAATATCTGAGGAAAAGAAACTCCTAAGTTCTACATATTAGCATGACTTCACACTTCACAGATTCTTGCATACATGTACAGTCTGACAGGCAAGCGGGAGTTTCTTCTCTTCAGACATGTTGCTCTCCATGTGAATAAACCAAGGATGGAGAGGGAAGGGGCTTGTCACTACTCTTTAAATATGTTGATAACAACTAAATAACAAATTGGGCTACTTCCTTGGCCTGCTAACATTCTATAATGCAACTATTTTATTTTTTTATTTATTCATTGTTCTTATGTGTCATTGTTCCCCAGCTAAGGGATCAAGGCATCTCAGAGATCTTTAAAACAAACTCACAATTAAAACAAGGTATTAAGCATGGAAATAATAAAATCATATAAAATAGATACAAAGTATAAAAGCATTAAAAACATTAAAGAGCATACAAGAGCAGCAAGCATAGGGCACCTAGCTATGTCTGAAGAGAAGTGTTTTCAGTTACTGAGAAAAAGAGAGAAGGGATGAAACTAGTCTGTCCCTCTTTTGTTCTTGAATCTGGGAAGAATCAGCAAGACGTTTCTCTGCTAGATTCTTACTCATCTTACTTATATCTTTGATAATGGCAAGAGTAGAGAGAAAGGTCTTTCCCAAAGATTTTAAATTATGGGCATGGTCAAATGGGACAATGCAGTCTTGCAGGGGCATGTTGAATTGCTCCCAAAAATGGACAGGTGGCCAGTAAAACTACTGCAGTAAGGGAACTATATCCAGTTCCAGTCAATAGTCTTGACAGCTGCTGCCATGATCTAGCAGTTGAAATTTGTGAAACAGTTTCAAAGGCAAACCATGTATAGTGTTTTGCAGTAGTCCAAGTAGGACCTTTCACTGCAGCCAGAGGAGACATTTCTGAGAATCTTCCATACGAACTCTCTTTTACATGGGTTTAGGATGAAGTCCTCAATTAGACCCAAACTGCAAATTTGAATCATTCAAGGACAACATGGTCTTATCCCAAAGATATTGAATTAGTGTTCCTTGATCCACTTTTGACTGACAAGAAACACTCTTGCCTGTGTTAAAAAATGGTGTCATCCTCCAACTCCCTAAATCTATGGGCCATGCACGCATACTGTGTCTGTTGGGTTCTGGATTGCTCTGTGGAGGAGCAAGTACTGGAATGATCATTGGATTATTCCAATACTTGCTCCTCCAGAGAGTGAAATAAATATTTCTCACAGTGCTACTAACACAGTACTACTAACACAAGCATATCATAACATCCTTTATAGAATAAAATCAGTTGGAAATGAAGCAAAATGCGATGTCAAAGCTTGTAATTTTGTCAAAAGTAGTGCAGAAAATACATAATAAATTATAATATACTGAGTGGGATTTTACTGTCTAAAATAACAGACAACAAAGTGTCCAGTAGTAGTACAGAAAAGCAGAAGGTTCAACTGGAAGAGAATCTCAAATCAGCAGAATTAGCTCAGAGCAGCTCTGAAGAAAAACATGGTTTGATGCTTGGAAGTGCTGGCCCTGCCGTGCAGAAAAACAATATGGACAGGTATGTTTATACATTTCATCTCTCACAGATGTGCTTCAGCTAATGTGTTTTGAAATATGCAGTAAATTGTATTTTATAAAACGGGCACATAAGCAGGATGTAGTTTATTAAAATTGTTAGAAATCTACTGTTACAGGGGTTTTTTTTACATCCATCTACAAACTTCATAAACTCTCCATTTCATCCCCCATACCTTTTGATGCAGATAATTTGTGAGCCACTTTAAGAGGCTTATGATTCTTATGAACTGAATTTACTTATTTAGTATTTATTTTTATAGCTGTTCTGTAGCTTCAGTTCTCCAGAACAGTTAAGAGTATTTTTAATCACTTTGACAAGGAGTGATCATAAACCTTGCACCGTTTGTTTGTTTCAAACCATGCAGTATAAAATCATGTTGTAATGTTTAAGTGGTAAATATTTTATACAGATAAATTGTGTTCATTTTTCCATAGAGAGCACCCGGTAAAGGAAACCCAGGAAGCTGCACTGGAGTTAGTTACTTCAAAAACTTCTCCAGAAGCAGAAACTTGCCTTCCAGAACTGCCACTTAGCCACAACACAAACGTGGATGTCCCAGTGTCTGGTCTTGATGGACACCAGCTAGCTGCAGCTGATGTTGCAGAGGTAAGAAGTGTTATTTGTTGCTCTGTATGACTGAAATAGCAACTTAATGAGCAATGATTAAAGGGGGAAACTATTGCAAACAAACCGTAAAAGCTGGTATGTTCTGATACTCTTACTGTTATTGTTATGTCGCTGCACAAATTGGACATCCTTTCTTATAGACATAACATGTACATGAAATTACCTTTCTTTTCCTTGTTCTTCCATGGTCCCTCTGAAAATGCTTTTTATATGACTGTTGCTGAACTGCATTTTGAGTTTACCTGGTACCTACGTTTCTAGGTAGACATTTGAAGGCCTGTTTTTCTCTTATTGTCATGCTAATAGTTACTGACAGTGAAAAAGCTCATCAGGCTGTATGTTTGTCAAATATTTGGACGTTTTCTTGCTAGTTACTAGTGTGTCAGGTCAGAGAGTCTGATGTCTGAACATTGTCTTAAGAGCCCTATAAAGCTTTATAGACCTCGGAAATATCAGCGCCTATCAGGTCAGAGAGTCTGATGCCTGAACATTGTCTTAAGAGCCCTATAAAACTTTATAGACCTCAGAAATATCAGTGCCTGTGTTCATCACAGCTGCCATGTATCCCAGAAAAAGGTTTAATTCCAGAATGAAATTAGATAACCATTTGCAATCATATTAACATTCATATTAGTAGCAAAGTATACATCTTTTCATTGTTGTAATCATTCCAGGCAACATCAGCTTGTCTACAACCTTTATTTTTCTGCATTGTTTCTATGTTTCAAATGCACAAAAAAAATCCCAAATATTGAAAACATCCAAACGTCTTACAGCTGTAGAAAAACTGTAGGTACAAAATGCTGAAAAATGTATGAAAATGGAACTTAAATTGTAGGCAAATACTTAAGTCAGAATTCAATCTCACATGTCACCCACTAGTCATACCAACACATTGCAATGTTCTGCTTATTTCAATACACTTTTAGTTCTCTCCTTTGTTTACAACTGTGGCGATCAACCCTTTGTTGCCCCTATTTCTTTGGGCCTCACAAAGGAACACACACCCTTTTCGCTGCCACCAGGTATTCTCTAATACCACTTCAAGTCCCACACAGGAGCTGCCACCCCAAAAAGGTCATATACTTTAGGAAGCAAGGTTTATGATTAAGTATTCTTTTATTATTATTCAACAGGAAAATCATATATGAGTTGGTTCAGGTGTTAATACTTTTAGGATCATGCAGTCAATCACTTTGCTATCAATTTTATCTCTCTCTTGTTATGCTTATACGTTCATTCCTGCTGGTTCCATGTGTTCTACTTTTAATTTCCTTTGCTAAACCCCCGTTGATCTATTCCTAAACCCTAACACACTCTATACATCTTCTGGTCCCTGACTCTTTCTACCTCTCCCTAACTCCCACTGTCCCTAACTTCCCCTCCTGCTCTATCTTTGGCTCCTCCCCCTTAGCTGCTGTGATGGACAGGCAGGAATGATGTCACCTTTTTGGATTCTGCTACAACAACAATCATTAGTGGCCTTGCTATCAGACTCGGCTGAAGCTAGTTAATTGTTTTGCAAACACTTTCAGTGAAGAACTGTTAAAAATCATTTTTATATATAGTATCCATTGTCTGGACTGCTTTTTCTACATGCCCCTTAATTATTTTAGTACATTTGAAATTTCACAATTTGTAAGTGAGAAAAATCAATGATATAAAAGGTAATTTGTGGAACAGTCCATGGCTTTGCTGTTTTGAATGAGTCCAGCAGTAATTAGAATAATTGAAGGGACTTGCTGTTTTTGAATTACTGAGCAATATTTTCTGTCAGTCCCTTATGGCAGGGGTCCCCCAACCTTTTTCACCCTGCGGTCCGGCTGGGAAGGTCGGGCACCCCCGTGCTCGTGCACATGCCCGAACGAGCACTCTCTCACACACACATGAACGAGCCACACACGCACAAATGGCAGTGCAGTGCTTGCACGGGCACGCTCGTGCGCATGCACAAATGGTGATGTGGTGCTCACACAGGCATGCTGGAGCATGTGCGCATGCACACATCAGCTGTGCGGGCTGAGTGCATGGGGTGGTGTGGTGTGGGAGGTCTGTCTCCGTGGCCTGGTCCGGCTCAGGCCACGGATCGGCACCAGGCTGCAGACTGGGGGTTGGGGACCTCTGACCTATGGCAAAGATTATCCTATAGGCAAAGGATAATTATTTTTTCTCAATAATTCTATGGTAAAATTGTACAGAAGATTTGTTCTTGGTTAACATTACATTAGATTTTTTTTCTCCATTCAGATATTCTTTTTATGGGGTTTTAGTTTTTATTGAGACTCTTTCTTTTTTCTTTGTTTTTCAGCAGTGTCTTTCTGAAGAGAGGGCACTGTTTTTATTTACTAAGATGTTTTCAGCTTACATTTGAGAAATACTTTACTATACACCATTAAGATAGAACGTACAGTTATTTAAAATGTGCATTGTATAATTTTTCATTGTTTTATATTATCATTTGTATTTTCTCAATGTTACAGTTATTTTACATATTAGACATTTCACTGTAATATTTTTATTATAGACAGAAGCAATGAAGCAGTCCAGTATTTCAGTAACCAGCGAGGTTACTTCAGGTACATTTTATGAACTTTTATTATGAATTATTTGTGCTTTCAAGAACCAACTTTATATGAACAAAATCTTTATCTATGAGCTAGATAATAAAAGAGAGAGAAATGAATGCAACTGTGGATCAAGCTTTTTCTTATCCCAGATTCAAGTTTATAATGGGATTATTGGTCCGCTTTTCAATTTGTAATAGAATTATTTTAATTATATTTTAAAAATTATTTTAATGAGGATCAAAGATTTCTATCACTTGAAACAGTTTTGGTCTAATTTTGTTTAGGTTGACTGGGGTGCTTATGAGATCACAGTTGCTTTGCATGAGTGTCCATCTTCCCTTCGCAGTAAACCTGGTGAATGGTCACATCTACATATTCTACCTATTTGAATAATGTGTTGGAGATTTAGTGAGAGTAAGGGCAATCTTGTCAAATGCAACTGTTTTCAGAACTGCCCATAAGGCTTATTTCTATTTGCTTCTGTGAAAACAGAGAAAAATATAAAAATCATAACTCTTTTGGGAAATTAGGAGCAGAGTGCTTTATATTCAGCAAATACCTTAACAGACATTTCATGCTTTCTTGGAGTCTTTTAAATGGATGATTCCAATATTCTGCCTTAAATCCAACTGGTAGTCCCTATTACAGTAGACCCATTGAATGACTTACAGCAGTGGTCCCCAACCTCTTTCAAATTGTGGACCAGTTGGGGGGGGGTTTCCGTATGGGGGTGTGGCACCCTTGCACGCATCCACGGATGGGCATGGTGCACTTGGAGGTGAGTGGGGTGCACTCATGCACATGCACAGGTGAGGCGTACATGTGCAGGTGAGCAGGGCACCTGTGCATGTGGGTGGGCGGGCTGTGCATGCATGTGGGGGCGGGAGATCTGTCTCCGTGGCCCGATACTGCAAAGGTCACGGACCGGCAGTGGGCCGTGGACCAGGGGTTGGGGACCCCTGACTTACAGAACGGAAAATCAAAGTTATGTACATATCATTGATTCAGTGGATCTACTTTAAATGGTACTACCGGTTGGATTCAGGCCTCTAATTTTTAAAAACAAAGAAAAAAAAGTCTTCACATTATGAACCATGTAACCTAAGGCATAGTTTCAGTCTATTAGATATTTTAAAGATGTCTAAGTTATAATTGGTAATACCAAAATATGTTAACTTTTCAATGCCTTTATGGGAACTTTTCCATTGCTAACCCACATTATGGAGTACTTTAAAGTATTTTAAGTTGGCATTAAAACGCAAACATTTTGAAAAAGCTGCCTTAAGAAGTATTTGTAACTTAAAATACAGCCCCATCTTTTAAAGTATAATTGTGGGTATTTTTAGGTAGTCTCACCCCCCTTTTTTCCTGTTCTGTTCCTGCTTTTATTATCTGGTTTACTCTTTTATACTGTATGTTGTTTGTTTCCTCTCAACATATTGTATGCTGTGTTTTGTAATTATATATTGTACAGAGGACATTATGCCTTGCAAGACAGAATACAATGTCAGTGAAATAAATAAGAAACATTTCTTAAAAACTAGGATAGACCAACTTCCAGCTCCCTGTCTGGCTCATGAAGCATCTGAGGTGTCACTCCCCAAAGCCTCCTCTCTGAGTATTCTGCCCCCCCCCCCCGATTTACTCTAATAAAGAAAAAAAAAAACAAGGAAATATAAGTTCCTGTAACAACAGAGATTGCCCTGCACTGCTCAGCTCAGATTAGTATGAATGGCAGAGAACTTTGGCCACTCTGTGTTCTCACCAATGAAAGAAAGCACCAGATGAGTTAAGCTTTCCAAATGCAAGTGCAGTCAGTGCAGGAGGATTCTGATAGTCAGTTTTTGGAGCTGACTTTGCCTTTTTCCCCTAGCTGGTGCTTATGTGAATGAATGGCTTTGCTCTTCTTCTTCTCTTTCTCTCACTGAGGGCAGCACTTCTGTGAAGAGCCTGTGCCATTAGAGTGTGTGATTTTACCTATGTGGCTCCAGATGCGTGGCCACACTCTTGACATTATCTGGCCCAGGACCCAGAATTTAGCCCTGTCCTCTATTTTTGAACCCAAAAAACAGAATCATGTTCATTAGCTGAAGAAGGAACTACCCTGCGCTCTTAGAGCAATTGCATCCAACTTTGCTTATGAGAACAAAAGCGTTATGATAGGATTAATAGAATGCAATGTGCAGAATGTTTGTTTTATATATTTTTTAAAATTCTCACTTCCCCATCCATGTTTGTATCTTGAAAGTGGGTATCAAAGAATACCTAGCAACAGAAGAGGAGCCAACGTTTATTTTAACTTTGGTGGAAATCCCAGCTGATACAGAAGACTGCAGAGGGGTACCTGGTTCGCTTGAACAAACATCTGCAGAACTCCTTCCAGCTCCAGTATTGTTCACTTCAGCTAATATAAATGCAGTGGAACTGACAAGAGATGACAGGTAAGTAATAATACCCTTTAACATGAACTGTTATTTATTCTTCAGCCTAAAATGGCCCAACGTCTTATTTCCATCCTGCCCTACTACCCTAAAGGTCTGATTATGGGAGGAGATTAAGAGGTGAGGATGTTGGCTTGCTGATTCTTTTCTTGATTCATTACTCTGTTCCCTTAACAAGGGAGTTATGTCTTGGTTTGAACACCGGGTTTCCCTTACCTTGGGAGAGAAATGTGAATCTCCTGTGTTCCCACTTCTACCAATAATGGCATCGGGCAAAGAACTGTCAGGCCTTAGTGTGCTCTTGGGGTCCAGTTAACAAGTAAAGAAGAAACCAGATCTTCAGGCTGTCTCTAGAGCAGTGGTTCCAGCCTTTGGTCTCCTGATGTTCTTGAATGAAAAGCCCTAGAAGCCTTCACCACTAGCTGTCCTGGCCAGAATTTCTTGAAGTTGAAAGACTTCCATGGTGAGAATAGTGTTTACTGCCCTATTCCAATCAAGTAAGCATTCAGGGTTGGGCAAATTCAGGAGGTCTGAGTGCTGCACATGTCCATCTGGACCTTCGAGCACCACTCCCTCTTTTGCAGCCTGTCCTGCCAGCCTCCAAAGTACTTTCTTATTTTAAAAAGGCTTTTTGAAAAATTGAAAATTTTCATGCCTCTAATGGCCAGGTTTTTGGAATTACAATTTTGGTTTGGTGAGAACTTTAATGTTGGCACTTTAAGACATGACCTCCTAGAGCAGGCACGGCCCGCTGCCGGTCCATGACCTTTGCAGGATCGGGTCGCGGAGACAGATCTCCCGCCCCTGCATGCACGCACAGCCCGCCCACCCGCACACACAGGTGCCCTGCTCACCTGCACATGTATGCCTCACCTGTGCATGTGCATGAGTGCATCCCACTCACCTGCAAGTGCACCATGCCCATCCGTGGATGCGTTCAAGGGCGCCCCCCCACGGGCCCTACCTCCCAACTGGTCCACAGTTTGGAAAAGGTTGGGGACCACTGTCCTAGAGCAATGATGGAGAACCTTTTTGAGCTCAAGTTCCCAAACTGCATAGATCATCAAGTCCAGCTCTGAGGGGGAGGAAATCAACCCCCCAACCTTTGGCTCCACAGCCAGACGCCTCAATTCCTGAGCTACCCAATCAGTGGGCACCCTCCGTGCTAGCGCATCCTCTGGAGGGCGGCCAAGGAGTGCCTTTCCCCCCTCCCCAAATACTGACTGGGCCCTCACCTGGGCTTCCTGCGCTGTGCTGTGCTGTGCCCTGCTCGCTCTCCTGTGGCGCCAGAGCCACAGTCAATGGGCAACCGCAATGCGCACTGAGGGGCGTCCAGGTGCGGCTCCTCCTTTGCCTCTGCCTCCGCCTCCTGCCGCCACCCAATCACCTCCTTCAGCACCACTTGTGGGCTCCCTTCAGGCAGGGGATGAGGTGGCGGCATGAGCTCGAGCTGAGCCCCGGCAGAGCGCGATGCCGCGCCTCCCACTGGGTTGGCATGGGCAGCGGCATCGCTGAGAGAGGGTACAAAATGGTTTTTTGGTCAAGTTTTTAAATGTTAAAATGGGGTAATGGTAGTGCTGAGGGTCTCAGGAGTGCCACCTTTGGGCCTCTAGGGGACCACATGCAGTTAGAATTTTGCTCAATCCTGCTCTTGTTATTTGCAACAAACAATTGTTGATATCAGTAGAACTTTCTCTAAGTAAAGGTGATGAGCAGTGCAATTTTAAATGAGTTTATAATATTGTTGGTAACAACAATCTTAAATCTTAATAATTTCACATTTAATATGGTAATATTGTGTAGCCCTGGATCCATAACAGCTATTGTGGAAGAAAGTGCTGTCTCCATCAACAGCTCTACAGGAAGAGAAGAGGGACACATATCCTCATCAGAAGAATTAACAGATCTGAGTTCAGTGTCCTTGGAGAGTCTGGAAAGCTGCCCTGTAGCACTTGAAGGAAGTTGTGATCCTCATGGGAAGAAAAGACCTGCTTCTTCTACTGGGGAAGACCTGGAAAACTCCAATAAGGTCAGAGATTAATTCACAGAATCACAAACGACTTATATTGAGAGTGTTTTGGATCCTTTGTCACCTGATTGAAAGTAACTTGAAATTCCACATGAAATAAGTGTCAAGAATACTGAGTCTTGATAGCTGTAGCAGGCACAGCTTCATTTCTGAGTACTGGTTGCAGTTCATACTAAACTAAGAAATGTATTTATTTATTTTGAATATTTTACCCCACCATTCTCCTTAAAAAGGGTATCCTGCTCTAAGGGAACCCAGGCTGCCCTTTGCAAAGATGGCAGCTGCAGTTTCCCTACCCTAAATAAAGCTGAAGCCGCCATCTTTGCAAAGGGCAGCCAGTTTCCCTGTCTACAGCTGCCCTTTGCAAACATGGCAGCTTCGGCTTCATTTAGAGTAGGGAGCTGCAGCTGCTGTTTTTGGCCTGATCAAGACCTTGGCAGTGGCAGCAACAATTATGGTAAGGGGGTGTCAGTGGGGGTAAAAGAAGGGGTGGGGGTAGACTGTGGAGGTGGGTGGCTGTGGAGGTGGATGGCTGCCTATCGACTGGTAGGCAGAATGATTATGTTGTCGTTTTGTTTTAATTACGAAGGGACAAATATAATGGAGAAGTATTCATCCCTTCGTATTCGTGGGGGTCTCTGGAACCCATGAATCTGAAGGGATAAATATTTAATGGATTAGAGGTTTTTCACAAATTTAGCGATTCATTTTTTAAATTTGTTCCCATGTCTAATTCTAAAGGTCTAAAACTAAGTAGTTGAACTGTTCAGTTGAGATCTTTGACAACAGTTCTTAAAGAGGTTCTTTAGCTATGAGATTTTCTTCTGTATCAGATCTTTTCTTCCCCTCTTTTGATGTAGTTTGACAAAATTTTGCTAGAGTGAATACATTGTTTATTTAAAACAAGCAACATAGACTACATGTAACATACCGTATACATCTCAACAGAAATATGTAATGTGCTCAGAGAATAAATACAAGAAACTTGATCAATAGGAATGCAACAATTAAAGGCCAAAATAGACAACAACTTTTTTTCAGAACATGCTGGCACAAATAGTAAACATGGTCAACAACAGAGTCATTGCCAGGGAGAAAATTAGAAGCTTTTAATTCACCTGTAATGGCCACAGCCCAGCCATAGCTCAGCCATGGCTAGGGATATCATCATTGTTGTCTGGTTATAACTTAGGCCACTGGTTATCAAACTGGGGTCCCCAGATATTCTTGGATTGCAATTCCCAGAAGCCTTCACTTGTTGTGCTGGCCAGGATTTCTGGGAGTTGCAGTCCAAGAACATCTGCGGACCTAAATTTGAGAACACTGCTGACCTAGACAACAGAATTCTGGCCAGTGCTTTAGAAGAATTGGAAGCCAACAGCCACTCCTTTATATTTTCCCTATATTTGTCTCTGGGCAGGTTCTGTTAACAGCTTTAGAATAAATACTTCAAAAGAGTTAACTGAATATTAAATTAATGGATCACTTGATCATTTGAAGGACCTTCTGATACTGTACCGCTTTCAGGATAAAAAAATGTAATAGTGGATTTTGTTAAGTAAAATTTTGGAACAAGATTTTATCTTGATCCCCAATAAATATGTAATATTTCCCAGTCAAAATCTTAATGGAATGGATCTTGTAGGCTGCTTCCGCATATTTACCTTTTTGTCTATTATCTTGTATTTTTATCTTGATACCTTTGAGCTGAGACAATATCTATAGAGCTTTACTTAAGGGAAAGAGGCACTGTGATTTTTTGTGAAGCTATCCACCATAAAAGTGATGGACCACCAGGAAACCTATTTTATTCGTATTTTCTTTTATGTAGGGGATCCCACCTAAGTTAAGATGTATACCAAAGCAAGCTGATGGTAGGTGAAATATCTGTTTGACTCCCTAAAACAAAGTTGTAGCATTCAGGAGAATGTCTCTAGACTGCTGTTAATAAAGCTTAGGATTTAAAGAGCTGCTGAAGCTAATTCAAGTAACTTTTACTGGTCCTTTTGAAACTCTTTCTTCTTCTCCCCTGCTTTCCTGTTTTCAATGCTACTTTATCATTTGGCATATTTGAGGGGTGCATTTTGGGATGAGCTTCTACTTGAGGCTCCTGGAACTGACTGAACATGGGGGGTGAATGATAAATATCTATTATTTGGTAGTTGTACAAGAATGCATATACAGAGAAAGAAGAGAGATGCGTTGCTTACATAGAGTAATATGTAATCCAGTTGTAGCACACTCAAAGTAACAGAATTTTTGCTTCTGCTTGTTTCCTTTCTTTTAAGAAAAAAACTCAGAAAAGTTGAACATTTCAAAGAAAATTATATCTACCTCTAGTTTAGTACCTGAACTATACGCGAAAGAAGAAGAGCAGTCTCAGTCTTCTCTAAATTTAGGGGCTCTGCAGTTTGGAGAAGCAGCTACGTCAGATGAGCAAATGTTAAGGATGCTCAATGTGGGAAAAGCAGACACAATGGAGAAGCAAATAAATATTACTGATACTTTTAAATCTGTACACTCTGAACGAGATAGAAGCACAGAAGCCTTTCCAAAACCACCATTATCCAGGTATCTGTCTAACAGATGTTTTAGTATGTTGTGTCCTTTCTTCACAATGTTGTATGCTTTCTACACAATGTTATATAACATGGTGGCAAGGCAGAGTCCTGATTTAAGGCTGACATACCAAAAATAAATGTTTGTACAGGGTACTTACATGGATAACGGCTTTGAATATTACCCTCTTCAGCCACTTTTGTTCATTCATTCTCCTTCAATAAAGTTTGCCCTAGCATGATTTACTTGGCTTTGGAGCCTGTAGCTTCTCCCATTCAGTTTTGCCTCCTGTCTTCATCAGGATAGAACTGATATTCATAAACAATTACAGTGCTTACCTCCTGAAATGTTTGGTTCCTTGGGCTTTTTAATTGCAGTTCTTACTTATTCTAGCAATTGGGATTGGGGGAGGGCTTTCTCATCCACTTGCATTGTTATCTTACTCTTCTACTTGATACTTGTAAGATACACTTCTCTTGATACTTGCATTACTTTTAACTATATTGAATAGGTCCAGTCAAAGATCCTTTGGATTTTTACCTTTGATCTGTAAAGATAATGCTGATGAAATAACCATTAAACCAAGTAAAGAGTTGCACCAGGGAATGGATACAGTTGTCTCTGAAAGGGTTCCTAAATGTGCAGTCTCATCAAGAGAAGACAACAAAGAAGCTCAAGAGAACATTTCCCTTCCATCAGCCATCCCAACTTCTTCCACATGTGAGAAAGAAAGCTGTTCTACTGTTCAGGTATGGGATTATCCTTACAAGGTATATAATCTGTTCAGAAGAGAAATATTGTTCAATGCCTTTATGAAGTTCATCTTCCATTTCTTTTGCTTTGACTCTACATGTGTATATTTTATCAGTAAGCCACCAAGCTCTGCAGTGTCTTATCAAGACAGATTCTACTATACTAAGTCTTTAAATTCTTCTTTGTGGCCTCTATGAATCACACCCTGGGTAATCCGCGCCTGCGCGGAGCCTCATCAGAAAGTTCTAGAGCTTCCGTGGTAGCAAAAAACACATTAGAATAAGGCCCCTCCTCCCTCGTATTAGTACCTTGGTGCCAAGACTCCCCTTTCAGTTTCTTTCAACTGCTGTGTTGAGAGCCTCATAGTTCTGCTTCCATGAGTAAAAGAGAAAGAGAGTTTATTCTTGATTCCTTCCTGTTTTCAGAGATTTTTTTTCTTTTCTATTTTGCTTGGCCTCTGGCCGCCGCAGCACCCCCCATCATTGTTTTTTCTCCTCAAATTATTTTCTCCTATTCATGGCCTCTTTGGGCCTGTTTAAACACTGCGTGGTCTGTGATAACAAAATACCACTCTCCGACAGCCACGGCAAGTGTCTTTTTTGCTTGGGAGAGGCACACCAGACGTCCTCCTGCCAGCATTGTACGAACTTCAAGCGCAGAGTCCTCTGTTCTCGCTTATCCAGATTGAAACTCCGTCTTTGGGAACAATCCCTTCAACCAACCAAAATGGCCCAACCTCCTTTTAAGGCCACTTCACAAACCAAAGCCATGGAAAAGGCACTTTCTGAAGCCGCAAAACAACGTCCATTGACCACACCATCCCACTCCTACGCTCCATCCACTTCATCTAAAACTTTAAAAACCCATAAATCAAAGCGCTCGATACTGAAATCCTTGATATCGAAGCCCTCCACTAAATGTCAAATGTCCACCAAAGCCTCTTCGGTTCCAGAGCCTTCTCCACCTAAAGGACTTAAACATCATAAATCTAAAGTGTGCTCCCAGTTCGTTTTCTCTTTGAAGGTTTCTGCTCATAAAGGAACATTCATTTGACTCGCATCACTGGGGCTAGTCTTTTTTTACCTGAATAAAGTTGGTTCGGCCCCTGAACACAGTTGATTTTTAATGTGGCCCCCTATAGAAATTAATTGCCCATCCCTGCTTTAGACGTTAAGTGAGCCCTTGCCTTTTACGTCCAACATACCTAACTTTTCAGGTATTCACCTCGACTTTTCATAAGCCACCAACTACCTACTAAAGGTTGCCAGGTGACGTCTCAAACTATATCTAGATGGGGCACTTCAACCATTCACCTCGCGTATCAAGTGGCATGCAAACCAGTCCTGAAGGGGATTTGCCCTCACTCCACCAGAGCAGTGGCGACCTCTACAACATTCCTACGCGGCGTACCTCTTCCAGACGTCTGCGCCTCTGCCACCTGGGCACAGCCATCCACTTTCATCCAGCATTATAGACTTGATCTCTGGCAGAAGTCTGATGCGGCCTTTGGACGTGCTGTTCTAGCCTCTACCTTGGCATGACACCCTGCCTCTGGGTAAGACAGCTGGGGTAACCCAGGGTGTGATTCACAGAGGCCACGAAGAAGAATGACAGGTTACCCATTCTGTAATTGTAGTTCTTCGAGTGGACCTCTGTGATTCAGAAATCCCGCCCATCCTCCCCACTGTCATGCCATTCTGCTTAATGAAGCGGCGGTTGACACAACTGAAAGGGGAGCCTTGGCACCAAGGTACTTATACGAGGAGGGAGGAGCCTTATTCTAATTTGTTTTTTGCTACAAGCTCTAGACTAGAACTTTCCAATGAGGCTCCATGCAAGTGCGAATCACCCAGGGTATGAATCACAGAGGTCCACTCAAAGAACTACAATTACAGGTGGGTAACCTATCGTTTTGTTTGTTACACTTGCCAAATTAAAGTGGGAAGAGCTTGCTAATCTTTTGATCCTTTTGGTTTCTAGGATCTATCAAAGGATTTTGATATATAATTATACAAGCCATAATCCAGTGCTGAATAACCAAATACCTAAGTGAGAATCCAAAAACCAAACATTTCTGCCTTCACTGTTGGTCTTCAGCTATGTCAAAATTCACTCAAGAGAGGAAAACTCCTGGCTATTATTAATTCAGACATTCCAATAGGTAGTCTTTAGAATTTTCTCATGCATAGTTCCGGTTTATGTGCTCTGTGGCTGCTTCTTAGGAGAATTGTATTTTTAGTTACTTAATATAAAATTATTTCATTGCATTTCAAGACTGTATAGTTGAAATTATAATATGTATCGGAGTACTAAAACCTTAATTTAAGATTTAAAAATTAAACTGTATCAGGTTATGAGAATTTTAAATGTAATATATTTAAAATTGCTTGAATTATTTCTGATCAGTAAAATTACATAAGAAACTAGCTAAACTTGTTCAGGTAATATGTGACCCTCATCAAAGTATCTCTGAATGGAGTTCTGTTCTGATAGCAAGAATAGACCCAGAGCCCCCTAACAAAACTGAAAGAGGATTTTTTTGCCAATTTCCCTGGCAAATCTACTATGGAGAACTGGGCAGGACTAAACAACAGTGTGTGCATAGGTGCAAGGAACTGTATTATGGAGGAAAATGGCAAAAACTGCCTCTTGTCCCACCTTGTGAACTGAGGCTGTTATGTACACATAAAGAACTCTTGCAAACCGAAAGCCAACCTTTGTAACCAATCTGAAGGTTTTCTTTATTTGAAAGATTGATAGTGCATCATCATTTGTATAGGATATCATATTATGAAACACATGAACAAGATCACATGTGGCAATATGTGCTTGTATTCCAATACTATGCAAGTGGTAACTTATCAGGCTGGTAACAATACAGTACTTAACAATAGGGATTTCAAATCTGAAAATGCAATATATTTCTTTTTAGGTTTCTTCTGAATTATCTGACAGTGAAGGTTCCTCTAAAGAGCAGGAAAAAGAAGAGGAGCCAACAAAGATCTCAGAGTACTTCTTCAGTGATATTTTTATGGAGGTGGATGATTCAGAATAATCTAAAAACTTAAGAAGTGTCTGGTATTAAAGACCCCCATATCCACAGGAGATCCAACTGATCTGATCTGTTTGATTTTGGTACAAGTAGTTTCTAGATGCATGCCTACATTTTAGAAATGCAATGGAGAATTTCTGTTTGACCATAAACACACCACCTAAATATATTATGTACGTTTATGGGTGCTGCCTGTAAATTATCTATACTTCTTTTTGTGAAGTAAGCTTTTATGAGAGGGAGGATCATTTATCTCTGTAAATAGGTGAATTTTGAACATTTCAGTGTAATAAGTACATGACTCATTTTGAATCAGCTTATTTGATGAATTTTTATAATAAATACATTCATAGCTTGGTTCAAAAAAGTAATGTTTAATTCCTCTCAAATGTACAGAGATAAATGTGAACAAGTTTATTTAAGGTGAATATACATAAAGATAACTATCCCAGGTTAATTCTTTGCCTCAGAGACAAAGAAGAATGTAACATTATCCCAGCACTAAAATTATAAACGAGATGCTAAAAACAATGGGTTCCGGTATCATGAAGCTTTTTTAAAACTACTCGTACAACACCACTGAAAAGGGTAAACTAGAAGTTAAAATCAGTGATTAAGAACATAAAATTATCATACCATGAGAGCAATTGGTTTCCTTTTGTAACCTGCATAGATTTTTGTCTCCCAAGCAGTTATAGCTTCAGTAGATCATATTTTTTCTATAATGCACATGTTCCATTTGGAAACCCTTCTAGATCAGTTTTGTGATTCAGTCTGAAGAAGAAATATTATTTTGTGCATTCTTCCTATTTCTTCTCCTGTGAGTAGTAATTGGACAGAATTCTCCACAAATGTACATGTTTCTATGACATCACTACTCTCAGTTGCAGCTGTTCAGTAGTATATATGATTTTATGTAATTAAGTGCTACTTCTGAGTCCTAGATTATTTATTTTTTGCAAGTATCAACCCAAAATAAAATTAATGGCTTACTAAATTTGATGTGAAGAGCACTGCATATGTTTTTCATTTACCACAAAAACAACAGGCTAGATCCAGACATGAGTCATAATCAGAGTAGACCCTTTTAAACATATGGGACTTAAGTTAGTTATTAATGGGTAACATTGATTTCAGTATTCTCTATGACTAAGTCTGGACCTATCCAAATGTATCATCCTTATCAATCAATATCTTAATTATTAGACTTGACAAATCTTGATATATTTGAAGATTTGTGTTTTAATGTATTATTATCTGGAGGAAACAGAACAAGACATATAAACCAATATGAATCATTTACCAAATGTAAGTTTAGATAAGTAGACTCAGAGAAGCATTAACATTTTTCAGTTAAAAATTAAAGTGGAATCAGTTCCAGCTGGGAAATGTGTTTCGTCATGTTATGTATGAAAGAAGTATACTGAAAATGCAATTGGCTGGAACAAATTTTGATTAAAATACAAAGTAAGTTTATTTTTCAGCAATTCTAGAGCTGAAATCCTGTTACTTGGTGCATTAAGGTACACTCCAGTAGGCCCATTGAATCAGCAGAGGTTTAGTGAGTTAAGTCCTCTTTAAGTTCCCTTGATCCAAATACACTAGTTGAGACTTACTATGTTAAAATAAGTTGCAACTGGAGTAGGCACATTTGAAGTAATGGAGGACTTGACTCACCAAATTCCCACTGAGTTAGTGGGCCTACTGTAGTGCAACTTAGTACTCTTATCATTAAGTAACAGGACTTCACCTGATAAATGAAAAATACAAGGTGCCTTATCTTTCCTTGCCAAATGGAAAGGACAAGAGAGCTGTTAATTTTTATTGTAAACCATGTTCTCTTGGTTGTCCCTTTAAATGTCTTTAAAACATCCAGATTTATTTCTGCAATGACTATTTCTATATACTGTATTAATGACATACAGAGACCGAATATCCCACATTAAGGAACCGGGCATTTCATTTCCATTAAAATCTGATAAGGATTGGGTTTCCTGAAAATGTTTGACACACATTTTATATGTGTGTAATGTTCATGTGTAAACTTTCTGTTTCAAAGAAAGTAGTTGTGATATATGTGTAAATTATGTGAATAAAATAATTTTGTACCACTTATTTGTAAAGTTTTTCTTCGGTGGTTGTGATTCAGGGTTCAGTGAATGATACTGGAGATCCTAAACAAAGTCAGTGTGGATCAGTTCCATCACTTCAGATCTATCCCTAGAGGTTTGGGGATAACTATAAAATGTAATTTGGACTTGTTTTGACCATTCATTCTCTGATTAGGTTTAGTGAACAGTTGCAGGTAATCTAACTAGAGATGGGGATATTCATAAACAAATCAGATATCTCCATCCCGGCTGGACCTAATGAGGGTCTGGCCTCCAGGGGTCTGACCGCCCACTCATATGTCCCAGCGCCACGAAGGTCCCGCTCTTCCTGCCAATGGTGCCAGGAGCTCCGCTGTCTCCGTGTTCAGCTGGCCACTCCAGGCAGGGGGCGGGAGGATGAGTCTCCCTGCACAGCTGCTGAGTGGCCAGCTGAGCAGGGAGACAGCAGAGCTCCTGGTGCCATTGATGGAAAAAGCGAGACCTTAGTGGTGCCGGGACATGTGAGCGGAATTTATTAGGTTCAGCTGGGATCGGGATATTCATATTAATTTATGAATACGAATATCCCCATCTTGAAATCTAGCCCTAACTTATATGATCCATAGGCTGCTCTCTTGGTTTTTGCAAGAGGTTTTGACACTAATCAGAGCAGATACAGTGTCTCTAAGCACCATGATATTGTCAACTTAGATTAGGTATCCTTCAGTCTGGTTTTTTGAAATGTTCCTGCCAAAATGCACCTGAGTCTCTGTAAAATTCCTTAAAACTAACTTTTGAAAATAACTTTTTAAAATTATTCCTCAACCCAATAAATTAACTTTATTCTGGCCCCATGAACCACTTTTGAAAAGTTACAGTGGGGTCTTGACTTAAGAACGGCTTGAGTTAAGAATATTTTGACTTAAGAACCACTCTCATAGGAAAATATTGACTTGACTTACATACTTAGATTTGAGTTAAGAACTGAAAAAAACCCACGTGGGAGGCAGGGAAAGTGCAAAATTTGAACTTTCAGTTAACTGTTGGCCAGTGAAAAGGGTGCCTGTCTGCTTCCTCACTCCTCCCAGTGTTTAGAGAGTGGATTGGGAGACAGTCTTCGGACTGCCTGGTACTTGTACTGCCTGGACTGTCTTTTCCCTGCCTTCCCTGAACCTTTCTTGACCTAAGAAAAAAAGAAACAAAATATCCCCCTCTAGTGGTCGAAGGCAGAATAGCAGCTTCCCATTAGTTTCTATGGACGGAAAAGAGCAGATACGGATCAAATGGTTTTCAATGCATTCCTATGGGAAATGCAGATTTGACCTGAGAACTTTTTGACTTGAGAACCGCCTTCCAATACGGATTAAGTTCTCAAGTCAAGACCCCACTGTAGTTTTGCTGAGAAGGCCAATTAGAAAGTGACAATCCCTTCCGCACTGAAGACAAACACTGTATAATCTGTCCCCTGCCCAGCTCCCTGATTTTGCTGGTTTCCGGACTGCCTCTTTGCCTCGGCCTGCTGGACAAGTGCCTCTTCAAAATGCCTCCAGGCTCAGGAACTTTGTCCTGCCAGGTGATACCAAAAATCACATACCGTATCACGTATGCAAACTTTGTCATAACTCTGGAAGACATGTACATACTTTACTTGCCTCTTCCTGTTCATTTTAGACTGCTACAATCTTCTCAATGTTAACACAATTCATGAACTTAATGTAGCTGTCAACTGTAGCTCTCTAGAGAGGCCCCAGCATTGCTGGAGGAGCTGGAAGGAGCACATGCATACAACTTTAAAATGCTGGACACTTGTGGATATCTGTGACTTTAAACAAATGGATTTTTTTATAAACAAGAAAGACCTGATGATTAAAAAAACTCTGTATTACCCACATTTTAGTGAATTTTGGTTACCACAGAAAGCACCTTGCATAGATGAAGAATACACGACTTTAAACAAATGGATTTTTTTATAAACGAGAAAGACCTAATGATTAAAAAGACTCTTCGCTGTATTGCCCACATTTTAGTGAAGTTTGGTAACCACAGAAAGCACCTTGCATAGATGAAGGAATACTCTAAAAAGCAAAGTACTGTATGCTCATTATATACTGCCCCATAGTGCTTAGAGCACTAATTATGCAAACAACAACTTGCCCTCCAGCAACCTGGGTACTCAATTTACTGACATCAGAAGGAAGGCTGAGTCAGCCTTGCGCTGGCTACTGGATCCCATCTGGTTCAAACTCGAAAGCTGAGTCAGCCTTGAGCTGGCTACCGGATCCTATCTGGTTGAAACTTGGGTCACAAGCAGAATCTTGGCTGCTGTACTGCAGTTTAACTATTACAGTACACTACAAGGCACCACCAACAATATACTGCATGGAACTGACAGCAGTTGACAAAAGGGAAACTCTGTAAAAATGAACTGTATGAAAACAAGGTTCATTGTAATCAGTAAAAAAGGAAGCAACCAAGAAATGCTGTTAAAAATCATTGGTTGAAATGCAGGACAACATCCTTACTTTAATCGTGCCTCATCCAACGTCAGTCTAGAGTGACTTAAGGAATTCCAGGTCGGGGGTTGTGAAAAATACAACAAATATCGGGGCTTAAAAAAAACGCATTTTAGAGGGAGAAAACCTTCTTCCCTAAGTGTGCTCAGTGGGCATTGCTCAACCAGTTCTAACAGTTGTGGGGTGGAGTGGGGGCTAGGTTGGAATAACGGGAACGGGGGAGGGGATCTTGGAGAAAGGGCGTGCTGTTGGACGGCTTTCCGAAGTGGCCGTCCACCCTCTGGAGGGTCACACCTTGTCGTATGGAGCCATGTGGAGCCTCCACGCCCAGAGGCAGTCTACCTCCAAGTGGAGAGGCCGAATAGCCAAGGCGAACTTTCGCTTTGTGAATGCCAGTGACAGGCTCTTGCGGCAGAAAAACCGAGGTCACCGAGGCGCTGCTGGCCGACTTTTTCAGCGCTACGTTTGCCCCAGGGCGGGGGCGGGGGGTCCTCCGGCAAAGGGAGACCCGAGACGC